GAAAGAAAGAAAGAAAGAAAGAAAGAAAGAAAGAAAGAAAGAAAGAAAAATATATTTTTATGAAGATGGATAATAATGAAGATAAATGGAATAGAACTCCGTTCTCCTTAACAATGAATGAATCAATGAATATACAAACGAACGAACGAATGAATTAATTAGCACAAAACAAGAAAACCTGTCGTATGGATGTACTTATAAATTGATCTACCCATGAAGACAAAAGGTTTTTAAATGTAGGCAAAAATAGGATGAAGATCTCGTTCCTTTGCGTAAGCAGTAATACCTGTTTTGTCATATTGTTTGAATTGAAGTCTCCGATTTCTTTTATAGAAAATTGTGACTGCTTGTATTTTATGGATGCGTTTTCTTTTACCGCAAGATTAACGGATCCTCATTTTAGACTTCAGATGCTACGACATGGATTCTTATTATCAAAACCTAGCTGTATATTATTCGTAAAACAAAATCTTTTACAATTATATTCGAACATAGCATGACAGATGCCTTTATATTTATATATATATATATATATATATATATATATATATATATATATATATATATATATATAGAGAGAGAGAGAGAGAGAGAGAGAGAGAGAGAGAGAGAGAGAGAGAGAGAGAGAGAGAGAGAGAGAGAGAGAGATTGTTATATTATTTTTGATTCCTCATCTTGCTCTAGTTACGAATAAAGCTAAATATCATGAATTGGGGAATGACAGATGCCGATTTAATTTTCAATCTAATAGGAGCATGTCAGAATCAAATGTAGACAGAAAAAGTTTACTTTGAGTGAAATTGTTGATGTGATTGCAATTATCGCAATTTATTATTGTACTTAATTGTCATATTTCTTGTCTACAAAGAATTTAAAAATCAATGCGATCATTTTCTGTGATCTATATCGCAGTTAATTCGATTAGTTTTCATTCTTTCGAAAGAGCATATACTCCTTTCGTTAGATTTCTCATAAAAGACTGGGTCTAAACGAATCCTCACAACATTTAATTAAAGATATAAATCTCCAGTTCAGATACACAAAAGCAGAGAGCTGGTTCTCTTGTGTAAGGAAACTTTATTAAACGATAATTCTGAATGCACCTGGTACATTTGGAATCGCAGGATGGACGTTAGAAAATGAACATGTTCGATAAACGGTAAATTGTTAATAAAGAAATCAAAATCGACGTCGTGTATAAATCATTTAACTCGTTTTCGTGTCTTATGATGTCTAAGACTTAACAATGACTCGGGGCTAGTTGGCAAACACGTTTAGCAATAAAAGTTAGGAAGCAATTTCTCTCTCACGCTTAGCAACAGAGTGCCGCCATCATAAATAGTATCCTAAAATTCGGATTGATTTTCCCTTGTTCTCTCAACGGTCACACAAATGTCAAGATCGTCCATCCCTGCAAAGTGGCACGTGCGGTTTGATCGTCGTCTGCGTCTATGGGACTAGCGTGCTTGATTTATTAGCTTCGTTACAGCGATATCATTCGGAACACCTACTCTAACGATCAATGAGGTCGTAGGAAGAGCAGGACAGACAGAAGAATTCGATTTGCATTTACGTCGATTTTCGAGGAAGAGGATCACAAGAGAGTAATATCCCTCTACATACAGATGTGAAGAAAATTGCTTAAGTGACCCAGGTCTCGAGCTGAGACTATTATTTCCAGGGGGAGCTATATTTCTGATGGAATAGTAGGAGATCGCACCTTTTCATGCATATAATCCTCTACTAATCAATATCCATTGTATTTGATCTAAGATTCGAACTCTTTTAGTTTTGAAGATATTGTGAGAAAAGGAGATGAGACGTGAGATAATGGGCTGAAAAATTGAATTTAGTCATGTTTTGATATGTGAAGCCATCGCACTGGGACAACACTGTGGTTACGAATTTCTTGAATTTCTTGTTCCTTGTGTATAAATTAATTCAGATGTCTGATGTCTCCAGTATGACAATGAGGAGAAATATGAAAGAAATTCACTGCTGAATGTTTTGATAATACACGATTCTTTGCTTTTAATTGACAAAAAAAAATAATGGTATAATTTTGGTTCATAAATTGTTCCATTATCACGATGCAGTATGTCTTTTATACTTGGCACTTTGGGAGGATGTCTTTGTTTAGGCAGCAAAATTATGTTTATTTGCTTTATCTTCCTTTATAATCTTCATTTTATACTCTGCAACTTTTTCCATTTTGTTATTATTATTATTATTATTATTATTATTATTATTATTATTATTATTATTATTATTATTATTATTATTATTATTATTATTATTATTATTATATTATTATTATTAGTAGTAGTAGTAGTAGTAGTAGTAATAGTAGCAGTAATAGTAGTAGTAGTAGTAGTAGTAGTAGCAGTAGTAGTAGTAGTAGTAGTAGTAGTAGCAGTAGTAGTAACCGCTCTGTTGGCTTAGTGGTTAGAGCGTCTGCCTCGGATCCTGGAGATCGTGGGTTCGAACCCCGCCTGAGTCATACCAAAGACTTTTAAAAATGGTACTAACAGCTGCCTCGCTTGGCGTTCGGCATTCAGTAGTTAGTCCTAGGACTGAATTTCCTAGTGTCAAGATAATATGACTCGGTGGAACATCATGTGACACGATGCCCCAGTGCTAGACATCACTATAAACTGTCACACTGCAGACATCGTAGCGATATGACTGAAATAAATGGTAATTCTGCGTTGAAAATCTAAATCTCACATTATTATTATTATTATTATTATTATTATTATTATTATTATTATTATTATTATTATTATTATTATTATTATTAGCAGCAGCAGCAGTTGCAACAGCAGCAGTAGTAGTACTATTGATAAAAAATTTTGAAGAAGAACCAAAAATTGGGCCTTCTCGGAACATCGAATTGTATTATTAAAAGTTTTGGAAGACAAAAGGACGTCAATTTCATTTAAACGAATTGAAATCATTTTAGATAAAAAATCTAAATGTTCATGACGCTGTATGCATGACTGGGGCCAATAACAATCGATCCTCCAGACTGTAATGGTACTGTAAGTTCAATCAGAAAAATGCAATACCAAATCCCACCAACCGCAAACTATTGAGCTCGCACATTATTCGAAGCGACTGAATACATATTTATACCATATACATCACAAGACAAATAACAAGAGTTTAAAACTTTAAAAGGTTTGGAATATAGTAATTTTATATAATAATATTATTTTAATATATATATGTGTGTGTGTGTGTGTGTGTTCCACACAGAATGCATTAATACGAATATATAAATATCGTGGCAACGTAGGTTGTAGGTCTTTGCTTCTGTATATTCTATTTATGTGATAAATTTATACTATTTAATCATTAGCAATTGAATGAAATAACGATAACAAATATTAATAATCACAGTCTTCTAAAAGAAGTAACATTTGACACAATTTCATCTGAATCTCTCTCTCTTTCTCTTTCTCTCTCTCTCTCTCTCTCTCTCTCTCTCTCTCTCTCTCTCTCTCTCTCTCTCTCTCATATCATGCGTAAAGGAGGGAATAAGAAGTCTGTGGGATGAGAGAGAAAATAAAACTAACCTTGCACCATGTAACCAATAATTTTAATACCGAGTTCGTAATACCTTCGTTACAAAGTTGTAATAGCCTGTCGATATTATATGGTACATTTTCGTAAGGATGAAGACATCTGCAGCAATATATTTAATGCTTTGCTTCCAAAACTTTCTTCCTCTTTTTAGAAATACGATTAAGATATAGGATTATGTTTTTGAAGGTTGTTTCAAGTTGGGTTATTTTCATTTTGGTTTAGCAGATCTGGATAGGTTGTTGGGGATTCAATTCATAGTTGGTACTTTTTCATATTTCCTCTCAGTTTGAGGTATTTGTTGCACACGTTGAAGATGTGGTGTGGTGTTTCTTGTTCTGGGCAGTGTGGGCAATTCGTGCTGTTATTTTGTCGGTCATGGATGATACTTCAGGAGAGGTTTTTTTTCCTGTTTTAAGCCTATTGATGACTCGTTGTTCTTCTTTGGTCATGATTTTGATGTTCTGGTGTTTTTGGTTGTGAAAGGCTGTGTTTGATAAAGGTGCCTTCACTTGCTAGAGATGTCTCATATGGCTTGCTATTTTTTTATCTATGTGTATTCTTACCTTGCTATACCGTTCCTCCACACTGTATGTTATGTCATATATTTGGCTGTGCTGGAGACTTTGCTTGGCTGCCAGGTCCGACGTGTCATTACCTGATAGTTTGATATTGGAGGGCATCCACATGGAATTTTACTTTGACCAAACGCACCCAGGTTTGATTATGATAGAAGTGAGGCAATGCTCCCCAAAAATATTTCCTACCATGATCCCGCTGCAGAAACGAAAATTGAGGGAGCTGAGATAAGGGAGCCCACCCACCCCTTGTATAAACGGTACAAAACCAAAAGCCTTCTGATTGCTATAAGAAGACCAAAACGAAACAAACCTGACTCTTTGACCCCTCAGTCTAAAACAAAACTATACAAACAAGGCGCGATCGGGACGGCCCAAGCCCTACAAGATTGGAAAGCTTTTCGGCAAACGCAAGAGTACACCATGTACTCAAAATCCAAGCTCAACGAATTAAGCAAAATTCACAACCGCACACGTGGCCCACACATCATTGGTATAGGGTCGTCCGCTAGCAAACCTGGACTAAATGTGACCGAAAGACCGGCCTGGGCGTTGGGGTGGGGCGCTGGTTCGCGGGTTTGGAGATGTCCTGTTTGATGCCCTCTGGGTCGTGCCGTGGAGATTTTGCGTCGCAGCCTTTTGTGCTACTTGCCGCCTTGCCTCGTCCATAGTCTTAGTGATCGTACCATGTTCACGCCACTGTATGGCCCAGCCATGAGCAAAGAGCCCAGCCTGGGGCCAAATGCCCAGCCCGGGGCTATAACTAATAGAGAAGCACATAGTGCATATGCGACGATAATCCTTCAGTCAGTCAGAGCTGCTTGATAGTTCTCTTTGAACTAGATCAATATCTTTGTCGAATGATGCTCCAAAACAATAGCGGAAAAAAGGAACTATAGTCATTTAATTAATATTGGAGATGACTTGCTGACGACATCTTCTCCATCCTACTTTTTCATCATTACAAGTAGTGATTTCACTGGTAGGTCTAATTAATCTTGGGAAGACTGATGATTTGTCATTCGGACGGATGGAAAGATAATGATTCAAAATAAAACAAACTAAACTGTAGAATAAAACTACATGTACATATATTTGATGTAAATTTTACTGGACAAACGGTGGTCTCATATTCGGCCTTGGAGAATTTTAGAAATCTTAATGAGAATGCTTGTGGTTGGGATGACACTTTTTATATTGGCTTGGAGATGCCATTTGATACTATTTTCCTGTTGTGTTATGAATAAAAACATGATTTTGTTGCTTAACTTTCATAGGAAAATCAAGTTCTGTATACATGATAAATTACAAAGTTTACCATTTCAATTACCGGACTGTGTTGTTTATTCCTTTTTCTTTCTTTATCTTCAGTTGATTCTGTTTGGAAGAAGGACGATGTCTTCATCTAATAACACTATTTGTAGAAAGATAGGCGTGTGTTTTAAGTTTACGAACTCTCAATTATATCCTTAAAGATTGGAAATGTTGTCCGAATCTTGGCAAATGTCGATGGAATTTCTATGATTTATAAGAATTTCTCTATGGCTCTGCTGAAGCTATAACTATTTTGCTTTGACAGAACAAGAACCTCTGGACTTTGCAGAGACCTTATAGTACAGAAATCTCTACATGAGCTGTCTTAGAACGTAAAATAAAATCGTTCTTTTTGACGACAGGAAAGAATAAAGGAGAAGTTATATCAAAATTTATCGCCTTCACCCGTACGTGGGCAAGAATTTTATAGTTCTACTGGCATTAGCCTTTAATTAAATGTCAATTAAAACAAATGTGTTTCCGAGTACAATAAAATGTGTCTATTCCCGCTATCTAAGTAACGTGAAAGAACGAACGTAAAGGAAAGAGAGAATGTTTGAGTATCTAAATGTAATTAACAGTTAAAATACATCTTTAACTGGGAGTTGGTCTGTGGATTTTTTGCGGGTGTTCTAAATTGTAAAATGGCGAGGTTCGCATGGTCTACAATATAGTATTTCACCTGATTTCACCGAGCAGGAAACTCAGTTGAATCCCCAGAATCCGCTGTCTATGCCATTAAGTTTACGTCTATTGTACAGCATGGCGTTATAGCTTATACAGTCGACACAAGATTAATTACTTCTTAGGAAAATGTATCAATCTTGGAAAATAACTCATAAGGTCATTAGTAGCTATAGTTGATACCGTAGGGTCATAAATGGTCGGTCTTCTGTCCAAAAGGCGAATTTAACACCAAGCACGCCATCTTGGATGAATGAACCTATGTCGAGACGGGAAACTGAACATTAGTCCGAACATTAATCTATAGGTTTAACGTTAGTCCTTGTGGCCTCAAGGGGAATGTCTATCTTATAAACGTCCATATATATATATTTGCGTGTGCATATATATATATATATGTATATATATATATATATATATATATATATATATATATATATATATATATATATATATATATATATATATATATATATATATATATATATATATATATATATATATATATATATATTGTTGTTGTTGTTGGCATCCGTCCTTCTTCGAGAGACCATGGTGTAAATAGATAGACACGCATATATATATATATATATATATATATATATATATATATATATATATATATATTGGCTTAAACGAATTAGAAGATACATATGGTATAATCCTTTAAGTGACTTTGTAAATCATATTACCCTTCTCTTCTCACTTTTTGACCATATCTTTATTTTCAAGACTTTTAAAATACTACTATGGATGTATAAAGGCGGTATTCAGTAGAATATTGTTGTTTTTAATTCTCCAACATTACAAACTACGAGATTTCAGTGAACGTAATTGGTGAATGCTTGACAAACATATGGTCAGGACTTAGTAGAATTAAGTTGAATATTTTACATTGAAGCAAACTCACCTAGATGGAAATAATATGGCGAAATGGGTCAATATTGCTTTTCATTAGAATTGTCATCTATCAAAGAATTCCGTGCCTAACATGATAAGCAGCTAAACGAATCAGAACATGGGATAGCAATGTCAATGATTCTGTGTTTGTCACGGTTTTATATGAGATTTGTGATGGTCTTGGCCTCCCTTATCATGAGTTATGGCCACAATATCTCACTAGAGCATAGCAATCTATGACTGGGTGCCCAACGTCCGAACTAATTTACTCTGAGATTGACGTCTTGAGAAATGGTCAAGTACTCGAAGACTTGAGAAGTTAACCAGACTATTTACCCAAAACTAAACCAATTAGAAGAGCCCCGGTTTAAACAATGTCCAGCTTAGTACAATATTTTTCTGGTATCTGCGTAATTGATTTCTCATAGTTTGAAAATTA